GGTGGAGACCATGCAGCGACGTGCTTGATGAGCGGGGTACGACAGCAGTAGAGATGGTGATGGAGCGGTGGAGACAGCAGGAGAGGTGGGTGTTGGAGCGGTGGAGACAAGCAGTTGAGAGGGTGTTGGATGCGGTGGAGACAGCAGGAGAGGTGGTGCATGGTGCAGTGGAGAGCAGTTGAGATGGGTGATGGGAGTGGAGACAGACAGGAGAGGGTGGGTGATGGGAGCGGTGGAGGACAGCAGCTAACCCTCGGGTCCGTTAAAATTACCAGAATGAAATATTATCTATTATCATAATCTTAGCAGAAAAACAGTTCTCTTATAACCGTACTGAACAGCGTCATTAGAAATTTTTATAGACGTCTCATCAGTAAATTTGCCACTGCAGATTTATTGTTATGTGGAGTATCGGCTCCTTATGTCCACGCTTATTTAATGGCGCTGCGAAATTGTTAACTATTGTTCGTTTTTTTAAAACTCTTCGTGAGGCACTTTAATCTGTCTGTAAGATTTGAGGATTCTTGGTGGGTTGGGTCCCCGCGCGGCCACAGGGATGACAGAGGGGGGGTGACTTGAGCGGTGGAGACAGCAGGTAGAGGAGAGGTGGGTGATGGAGCGGTTGGAGGGACACCAGGATGGGTGGGTGATGGAGCGGTGGAGACACCAGGATGAGGTGGGTGGATGGGCGGTGGAGGACACCAGGAGAGGTGGGTGAATGGAGCGGTGGAGACAGAGGACAGGTGGGTGATGGGAGCGGTGGAGACAGGAAGGAAGGTGGGGGTGATGGAGCGGTGGAGACAGCAGGAGAGGTGGGTGATGGAGCGGTGGAGACAGCAGGAACATGGTGGGTGATGGAGCGGAGGGAGACAGAAGTACAGGTGGGTGATGGAGCGGTGGAGACAGCAGGAGAGGTGGGTGATGGAGCGGTGGAGACAGCAGGAGAGGTGGGTGATGGAGCGGTGGAGACAGCAGGAGAGGTGGGTGATGGAGCGGTGGAGACAGCAGTAGAGGTGGGTGATGGAGCGGTGGAGACAGCAGTAGAGATGGGTGATGGAGCGGTGGAGACAGCAGGAGAGGTGGGTGACGGAGCGGTGGAGACAGCAGTAGAGGTGGGTGATGGAGCGGTGGAGACAGCAGGACAGGTGGGTGATGGAGCGGTGGAGACAGCAGTAGAGGTGGGTGATGGAGCTGTGGAGACAGCAGGAGAGGTGGGTGATGGAGCGGTGGAGACAGCAGTAGAGATGGGTGATGGAGCGTTGGAGACAGCAGGAGAGGTGGGTGATGGAGCGGTTGAGACAGCAGTAGAGATGGGTGATAGGGTGGTGGAGACAGCAGGAGAGGTGGGTGATGGAGCGGTGGAGACAGCAGGAGAGGTGGGTGACGGAGCGGTGGAGACAGCAGTAGAGGTGGGTGATGGAGCGGTGGAGACAGCAGTAGAGGTGCGTGATGGAGCGGGGAGACAGCAGGACAGGTGGGTGATGGAGCGGTGGAGACAGCAGGACAGGTGGGTGATGGAGCGGTGGAGACAGCAGTTAGAGATAGTGATGGAGCGGTGGAGACAGCAGGAGAGGTGGGTGATGGAGCGGTGGAGACAGCAGGAGAGGTGGGTGACGGAGCGGTGGAGACAGCAGTAGAGGTGGGTGATGGAGCGGTGGAGACAGCAGGACAGGTGGGTGATGGAGCGGTGGAGACAGCAGGACAGGTGGGTGATGGAGCGGTGGAGACAGCAGGAGAGATGGGTGATGGGGTGGTGGAGAAGCAGGAGAGGTGGGTGATGGAGCGGTGGATACAGCAGGACAGGTGGGTGATGGAGCGGTGGAGACAGCAGGACAGGTGGGTGATGGAGCGGTGGAGACAGCAGTAGAGGTGGGTGATGGAGCGGTGGAGACAGCAGGACAGGTGGGTGATGGAGCGGTGGAGACAGCAGGACAGGTGGGTGATGGAGCGGTGGAGACAGCAGGAGAGATGGGTGATGGGGTGGTGGAGAAGCAGGAGAGGTGGGTGATGGAGCGGTGGATACAGCAGGACAGGTGGGTGATGGAGCGGTGGAGACAGCAGGAGAGGTGGGTGATGGAGCGGTGGATACAGCAGGACAGGTGGGTGATGGAGCGGTGGAGACAGCAGGAGAGGTGGGTGATGGAGCGGTGGATACAGCAGGACAGGTGGGTGATGGAGCGGTGGAGACAGCAGGAGAGGTGGGTGACGGAGCGGTGGAGACAGCAGTAGAGGTGGGTGATGGAGCGGTGGAGACAGCAGGAGAGGTGGGTGATGGAGCGGTGGAGACAGCAGGAGAGGTGGGTGATGAAGCGGTGGAGACAGGAGGAGAGGTGGGTGATGGACCGGTGGAGACAGCAGTAGAGATGGGTGATGGAGCGGTGGAGACAGCAGGAGAGGTGGGTGATGGAGCGGTGGAGACAGCAGTAGAGATGGGTGATGGGGTGGTGGATACAGCAGGACAGGTGGGTGATGGAGCGGTGGAGACAGCAGGACAGGTGGGTGATGGAGCGGTGGAGACAGCAGTAGAGGTGGGTGATGGAGCTGTGGAGACAGCAGGAGAGGTGGGTGATGGAGCGGTGGAGACAGCAGTAGAGATGGGTGATGGAGCGGTGGAGACAGCAGGAGAGGAGGGTGACGGAGCGATGGAGACAGCAGTAGAGGTGCGTGATGGAGCGGTGGAGACAGCAGGAGAGGTGGGTGACGGAGCGGTGGAGACAGCAGGACAGGTGGGTGATGGAGCGGTAGAGACAGCAGTAGAGGTGGGTGATGGAGCGGTGGAGACAGCAGTAGAGGTGGGTGATGGAGCGGTGGAGACAGCAGTAGAGGTGGGTGATGGAGCGGTGGAGACAGCAGTAGAGATGGGTGATAGGGTGGTGGAGACAGCAGGAGAGGTGGGTGATGGAGCGGTGGAGACAGCAGGAGAGGTGGGTGATGGAGCGATGGAGACAGCAGTAGAGGTGCGTGATGGAGCGGTGGAGACAGCAGGAGAGGTGGGTGATGGAGCGGTGGAGACAGCAGGACAGGTGGGTGATGGAGCGGTGGAGACAGCAGTAGAGATGGGTGATGAAGCGGTGGAGACAGCAGGAGAGGTGGGTGATGGAGCGGTGGAGACAGCAGTAGAGATGGGTGATGGAGCGGTGGAGACAGCAGGAGAGGTGGGTGATGGAGCGGTGGAGACAGCAGGAGAGGTGGGTGACGGAGCGGTGGAGACAGCAGTAGAGGTGGGTGACGGAGCGGTGGAGACAGCAGGACAGGTGGGTGATGGAGCGGTGGAGACAGCAGTAGAGGTGGGTGATGGAGCGGTGGAGACAGCAGTAGAGGTGGGTGATGGAGCGGTGGAGACAGCAGGACAGGTGGGTGATGGAGCAGTGGAGACAGCAGGACAGGTGGGTGATGGAGCGGTGGAGACAGCAGGACAGGTGGGTGATGGAGCGGTGGAGACAGCAGTAGAGGTGGGTGATGGAGCGGTGGAGACAGCAGGACAGGTGGGTGATGGAGCGGTAGAGACAGCAGTAGAGGTGGGTGATGGAGCGGTGGAGACAGCAGTAGAGGTGGGTGATGTAGCGGTGGAGACAGCAGTAGAGGTGGGTGATGGAGCGGTGGAGACAGCAGTAGAGATGGGTGATGGAGCAGTGGAGACAGCAGGAGAGGTGGGTGATGGAGCGGTAGAGACAGCAGTAGAGGTGGGTGATGGAGCGGTGGAGACAGCAGGACAGGTGGGTGATGGAGCGGTGGAGACAGCAGGAGAGGTGGGTGATGGAGCGGTGGAGACAGCAGTAGAGATGGGTGATGGAGCGGTGGAGACAGCAGGAGAGGTGGGTGATGGAGCGGTGGAGACAGCAGTAGAGATGGGTGATGGAGCGGTGGAGACAGCAGGAGAGGTGGGTGACGGAGCGGTGGAGACAGCAGTAGAGGTGGGTGATGGAGCGGTGGAGACAGCAGTAGAGGTGCGTGATGGAGCGGTGGAGACAGCAGGAGAGGTGGGTGATGGAGCGGTGGAGACAGCAGGACAGGTGGGTGATGGAGCGGTGGAGACAGCAGGAGAGGTGGGTGATGGAGCGGTGGAGACAGCAGGAGAGGTGGGTGATGGAGCGGTGGAGACAGCAGGAGAGGTGGGTGATGTAGCGGTGGAGACAAGAGGAGAGGTGGGTGATGTAGCGGTGGAGACAGGAGGAGAGGTGGGTGATGGAGCGGTGGAGACAGGAGGAGAGGTGGGTGATGTAGCGGTGGTGACAGCAGGAGAGGTGGGTGATGTAGCGGTGGAGACAGCAGGAGAGGTGGGTGACAGAGCTGGAGACAGGTAAGGAGATGGGTTGGATGAATTGGAGAAAGGTAGAAGTAGGTGAGGAACGGGAAGAGATAGAGAGGCCTGTGAGGGAGAAGAGGCGAGAGATGAGAGGTGGGTAAGGAAGACCTAGAGACTGGTGGGTATGGGAAAGGTAGGTGAAGAGCAGTTGGCTGGTGGGAAGGGAAGAGGTGGGTGAGGGAAAGCAGAAGACTGGTGGTTAGGAGTGAGGTGGGTGAGGGAGAGGTGGACGGGGTTCATTTATCTAAGGCAGCTGTGAGGTGGGGTGTCACTGGCTCATGGAGGGTAGGGAGCTGTTTGGGCATTTAAACTAGAAATATTTAGTGGCATGGGTTTTTGTGGGAAAGTAAAGATGTTGGGTAGAGAGATGAGCGAAGGAGAGGTGCGGAGATATGTAGAGAGATGGGTGAATGTGAGGTGGAGATAGGCTGAGAGGTGTGTGAGGGAGAATTTGAGAAAGGCAGAAGGAGAGGAGGAGGAGATAAGTAGAGAGACCTGAGAGGAAGAAATGGAAATAGGTAGAGAGGCAGAGACAGGTTGAGAGGTGAGTGAAGAAATGCTGAAGACAGGCAGAGAAGTACGAGCAGAGAGAGGTGGAAGCAATTAGAGAGGTGGTTGAGAGAGAGGTTGAGTTAGGTAGAATAACAGTGACTGAGAGGAGCAGACAGGTCGAGAAGTGGAGAGAGGTAAACAGAATGGTTGATATATTTACTGACCTGTTCTTCCACTGAAGAGGCTCTGGAAAATATTCAACAACTTTTTCTTTAGCGTTTTGTGGTTCTCGCTCACTTGCTCTTCCACCATCGTCTGGTTTACTGACTCAACGCTACCAGTACTTAGCGTCTCACTCCCTGTTATGATAATACCATAATTCATTAGCTGATGAAAGAGCGCTAAGCCCGAACGTCAGTCAACACAAAATATTACTTTTCTAAAATCTGCTAACTTTCAAATATCAATCTCTAAAAAAATATTTCATAGCATTAATCGTCCAATATAAACAACTTAACAAAGACAATCCTAAGAAACAAGTTGTGTTTCGGTCGCTGCGAAATCTGAGAAAAGTACTTACTGTATTCCATAACCCCGGCCTCATGTGCTTTAATGTACGCAAGAGGTTTACAAATTGTATTACAGAACCTCATGAGGCAGAGGTAGAGGCTGAGATTACGCAGTTCAGCTTCCTTTTCAAACATAGGTATAATATATATATATATATATATATATATATATATATATATATATATATATATATATATATATATATATATATATATATATATATATATATATATATGAAGGGGGTAGGGGAATTTCGGTGGGAGAAATAAATGAGATTAAATCTTGAGTATCTGAGAGAGTTAGAGCTAAGGAAGGGGTAGCAATAATGTTGAAGGATCAGTTATGGAAGGAGAAAAGAGAATATGAATGTATAAATTCAAGGATTATGTGGATTAAAGTAAAGGTTAGATGCGAAAAGTGGGTCATAATAAGCGTGTATGCACCTGGAGAAGAGAGGAATGTAGAGGAGAGAGAGAGATTTTGGGAGATGTTAAGTGAATGTATAGGAACCTTTGAACCAAGTGAGAGAGTAATTGTGGTAGGGGACCTGAATGCTTATGTAGGAGAAACTTTTAGAGAGGGTGTGGTAGGTAAGTTTGGGGTGCCAGGTGTAAATGATAATGGGAGCCCTTTGATTGAACTTTGTATAGAAACGGGTTTAGTTATAGGTAATACATATTTTAAGAAAAAGAGGATAAATAAGTATACAAGATATGATGTAGGGCGAAATGACAGTATTGGCAGATAAAAGACTGTTGAGTAGACTTCAGGATGTACATGTTTATAGAGGGGCCACATATATATCAGATCACTTTTTAGTTGTAGCTACACTTAGAGTAAAAGGTACATGGGATACAAGGAGAATAGAAGCATCAGGGAAGAGAGAGGTGAAGGTTTATAAACATAAAGAGGAGGCAGTTAGGGTAAGATATAAACAGCTATTGGAGGATAGATGGGCTAATGAGAGCATAAGAAATGGGGCCGAAGAGGTATGGCGTAGGTTTAAAAATATAGTGTTAGAGTGTTCAGCAGAAGTTTGTGGTTACAGGAAAGTGGGTGCGGGAGGGAAGAGGAATGACTGGTGGAATGATGATGTAAAGAGAGTTGTAAGGGAGAAAAAGTTAGCATATGAGAAGTTTTTACAAAGTAGAACTGATGCAAGGAGGGAAGAGTATATGGAAAAAGAGAGAGAGGTTAAGAGAGTGGTGAAGCAATGTAAAAAGAGAGCAAATGAGAGAGTGGGTGAGATGTTATCAACAAATTTTGTTGAAAATAAGAAAAAGTTTTGGAGTGAGATTAACAAGTTAAGGAAGCCTAGAGAACAAATGGATATGTCAGTAAAAATAGGAGACGAGAGTTATTAAATGGAGAGTTAGAGGTATTGGGAAGATGGAGGGAATATTTTGAGGAATTGTTAAATGTTGATGAAGGTAGGGAAGCTGTGATTTCGTGTATAGGGCAAGGAGGAATAACATCTTGTAGGAGTGAGGAAGAGCCAGTTATGAGTGTGGGGGAAGTTTGTGAGGCAGTAGGTAAAATGAAAGGGGGTAAGGCAGCTGGGATTGATGGGATAAAGATAGAAATGTTAAAAGCAGGTGGGGATATAGTTTTGGAGTGGTTGGTGCTATTGTTTAATAAATGTATGGAAGAGGGTAAGGTACCTAGAGATTGGCAGAGATTGTGCATAGTTCCACTGTATAAAGACAAAGGGGACAAAAGAGAGTGTTAAAATTATAGGGGAATAAGTATGTTGAGTATACCTGGTAAAGTGTATGGTAGAGTTATTATTGAAAGAATTAAGAGTAAGACGGAGAGCAGGATAGCAGATGAACAAGGAGGCTTTAGGAAGAGTAGAGGGTGCGCAGACCAAGTGTTTACAGTGAAACATAGGTGAACAGTTTTTAGATAAGGGTAAAGAGGTTTTTGTGGCATTTATGGATTTGGAAAAGGTGTGTGACAGGGTGGATAGGGGGGCGATGTGGCAGATGTTGCAAATGTATGGAATAGGAGATAAGTTATTGAAAGGAGTGAAAAGTTTTTACGAGGATAGTGAGGCTCAGGTGAGAGTATGTAGGATAGAGGGAGATTATTTCCCAGTAAAAGTAGGCCTTAGACAAGGATGTGTGATGTCACCGTGGTTGTTCAATATATTTATAGATGGGTTGTGCTGGCAAGAGGTGTGGGGTTAAAAGATAAAGAATCTAACACAAAGTGGGAGTTGTCACAGTTACTCTTTGCTGATGACACTGTACTTTTGGGGGATTCTAAAGAGAAGTTGCAGAGGTTGGTGTATGAGTTTGGTAGGTTATGTAAAAGAAGAAAATTGAGAGCGAATATAGGAAAGAGTAAGGTGATGAGGACAAAAATATAGGTAACGATATATTGGATTGATATCCAATCTTTCGTTACCTATTTTGGAGGGAAAAAGTATGGAGGAGGTGAATGTATTCAGATATATGGGAGTGGACGTGTCAGCAGATGGGTCTATGAAAGATGAGGTGAATCATAGAATTGACGAGAGGAAAAAGTTGAGGAGTCTGTGGAGACAGAACTTTATCCATGAAAGCAAAGAGGGGAATGTATGAGAGTATAGTTATACCAACGCTCTTGTATGGGTGTGAGGCATGGGCGGTGAATGTTGAGGCAGTGGAGATGTCATGTCTGAGGGCAATGTGTAGTGTGAATATAATGCAGAGAACCCGTAATTTGGAAAGTAGGAGGAGGTCTACCTGGAGTCTACCTAGAGGGCATTCTGAGGATCAACTCCCCCGCGGCCCGGTCCATGACCAGGCCCCCTGATGGATCAGGGTCTGTTACTGCTGGCCGCACGTAGTCCAATGTACGAACCACAGCCCGGCTTATCTGGCACTGACTTTAGGTATCTGTCCTGCTCCCTCTTGAAGACAACCGGGGGTCTATTGGTAATTTCCCTGATGGGTGGAGGAGGCTGTTGAACAGTCTTGGGCCCCGGACACATATTGCATACCAGTGGCACCCCTACTTTTCACTGGGGGCACGTTACATCGCCTGCCCAGTCTTTTCCTTTCGTAGGGACTGAGTTTTGTGTGCAGATTAGGGACCAGTCTCTCCAGACTTCCAGGTGTAGATTATGATATATCTCTTTCGCCTGCGCTCCAGTAAGTACAGGTCAAGTGCTTCCAGGCGTTACCAGTAGTTGAGGTGTTCGACGGAACTTTTATGTACCGTAAAGGTTCTCTGAAAATTCTCTAGATCTGCAATTTCACCTGCCTTGAACGGAGATTTTAATGTACAGCAGTATTCCAGCATTTTGAAGGAGGGGTGTTAATGTTGCAGTTTTATAACTGTAGTTGTGAGCATGCCTCTTGCAAGACAGTGATGGAGTGAATGATGGTGAAAGTTTTTCTTTTTAGGGGCAACCTGCCTTGATAGGAGTCGGCCGATGTGCTAGCAAAAAAGAAGAAAAAATATAGAACAGAAGAGATGGATCAGGGCGGTATAACCAACATGGGAATGAATTCAACCCTGTGTGGAGGTTGTGCTATGATATATGCGAACGGAACATCAAGAAGTCTGAACCAGTAGCTGAGGGAACACAAATAAGCACACAGCGGAGACAACCTGGCTAATGCTTGTATAATTCAGCACAACTTAAATGAACACTTAAGAGAGTGCAATGAAAATAAATTATTTCTGAAACAGTTACTTGCTGAAATGTGGCATTCTCGAGGCATCCTTGACCTCTGTGTCCCACACAATGGCCCAGAACTCAGAAAAATTAAAAAAATCGATACTTACATTTATTGTTTGATTTAATTCTTGTATGAATAAGAAAATATTCAAATTAAAGTGGAACTTCGTAATGCTGGAAATGACAGAAAAAATGAATAAGAAGAAATTAAAATAAGCACATAACATGAAAAACTTTTCCCAAATTTCAGTGAGAAAGTAAAGTCACTAATAACAAACAGACAAATGAATAAGCACCACCTTCTCTTAGCTGGAGACTTCAACATCAACCTTGGCTTACTAGATGATCAGCCTGTAACTGATTTCATCAACAATATGAACAACACACTTCTCATACCAACAATAACTAAACCAACCAGGCTCACTGAGACAAGTGCAACCATAATAGACCACATATGGACCAATATACTAGCCCCCCTTAAATCAGGGATAATCACAGATAGCACTACAGACCACTACCCTACCTTCCTCCTGACAAACATTAGTAAACCACCACTTGAATACAACAAAGTCTCATTTAGACTCCATGACGAGGCCTCAGTAAGGAAGTTCACAGCTGACCTAGAGACTGTTGATTGGCCTACAGAATTCTCCAAGGCCAATGGTATTGATGATGGACAGACATCTTTCTTAACAAATTACTTAGACTATACAACAAACATTGTCCTATAAAAAAAAAACAGATCACAAACAAACGGCTTGGTTGCCCATGGCTAACCAGCACCATTCTGAAATCCATTGACAAGAAAACACCATATGAAAAGCAATATAGACAGGGCTTAATACACAAAGATACTCTTAAACACTATCATCAGCTCTCACCAAAGTAATAAAAAAAGCCAAACAACTATACTACTCCAGTAGATTCACAGACACTAGAGGAGATATAAAAAAGACCTGGAAAACACTCTCTCAGATTCTACGGACCCACAAACTGAGAAAAACCAAGAATATTGTCCTAACTAAACCTAATGAAACACCACTTACATCCCACTGACACAGCTAACAAGATAAACGACTTCTTCTCAAAACATAGGATCTAATCTCGCCAGTAAAATCCCACATACCAATGCCCATCCCGGGGGACTACCTAGATGGAAATTTCCCTAATTCCTTCTATCTTGCACCAACTGAGCCCACGGAAGTCATTGAGATCATAAAGTCACTTAAAAATAACTCGGGGAATCTGTCTCATGTCCCACCATTACTGTACAAGCGAGCGGCCCATGTCCTTTCGCATGCTATTTCATTACTTTTTAACAAGTCAATAGAGACTAGCACCTTCCCGAAACTACTCAAGATGGCAAGGGTTACACCAATACATAAAGGTGGTGACCCTACAGACTTAAACAACTATAGGCCAATATCAAAACTTACCATTGCTATCCAAAATCTTTGAGAAACTCGTGCACAGGAGACTGTATTCATTTATAACGGCTCAAAACATACTCAAACCCCTGCCAGTTTGGATTCAGGAAAAATAAAAGCACTAATGATGCAATCATAAAAATGCTAGATCTACTTTACACAGCATTGGAAAATAGGAATATCCACTAGGAATTTTTATTGACCTAAGAAAAGCTTTTGACACAGTAAACCACGAAATCCTACTCAACAAACTTGACCACTACGGTATAAGAGGCCATGCGCTTGCTTATTTCAAATCTTACATTACTAATAGGTATCAGTACGTCACCATTAAAGACACAGCATCAGCAACACGGCCACTTGATACTGGAGTTCCGCAGGAAGTGTCCTTGGTCCCTGCTTTTCCTCATATACATCAATGACCTTCCAAACGTATCCCAACACCTGAAACCCATTCTCTTTGCTGATGACACGACTTATGTCATCTCTCATCCTAATCTTGCCACCCTCAACACCATTGTGAATGAGGAGCTGATTAAAATATCGACTTGGATGACAGCCAATAAACTTACGCTTAACACTGACAAAACTTACTATATTATGTTTGGTAGCAGAGCAGGAGATGCACAAATTAACATTAAGATGACAACACTCTAATTACCAGAAATAATGGGGAAAATTCCTAGGCTTATACCTTGACAACAACCTGAATTTCAGCACCCATATCCAGCATATAGCCAAAAAAGTATCCAAAACGGTTGGGATCCTCTCCAAGATACGATACTACGTGCCGCAAAATGCCCTTCTCACACTATACACACTCCTTATTTATCCATACCTCACCTATGCTATTGTGCTTGGGGATCAACTGCAGCAACACACCTAAAGCCAATAATAACCCAACAAAAAGCTGCAGTAAGAATAATCACTAAATCCCCTCCCTGGCAGCACACCCCCCCACTCTTCAAAGATCTAAACTTACTCCCAGTTCAGTACATCCACACTTACTACTGTGCAATCTATATCTTACAGGGCCTTAAACTCTAATATCAACCTTGACCTTAAACGCTTTCTTGATAGTTGTGACAGAACCCACAGGCATAACACCAGAAACAAACATCTCTACGACATTCCCCGTGTCCGACTAAACCTTTACAAAAATTCAATGTATGTCAAAGGCCCTAAAATCTGGAATACCCTACCTGAGAACTCTAGAACTGCAGACACATTCATCACCTTCAAAACTACCATTAGAAAACATCTTATCTCCCTGATACACCCCGTCAACTAACTACACGAATACCACCTGGTGGTTCACACACTCGCTCACTCTTTTGACCATAAACAGAAATATTAATCTCAGTCTTAAAATAATGAATCCTGTGATACTCCAATACTGAAACTATATACTGTGCCAAAACAAAAGCATTCACATTGCTAAACTCACAAAATAGTATTTAGTCACTTAGCCATAATACCAACTTACCTCATAATTTGTAATATTTTACAATTAAGAATAAAACTAAGTATGCCCGAAATGCCTAGCCATGCTAAGCGTTCTAGTGGTACACTCTGTAATTACAATTTTACTACATGTAAACCAAACAATAACCAAATTTCTGTAAACTCAGCATTGTAATCCTTATAGAGAATAAACTTTGAAGATAATTTCTGTTATAAAGCGATAACGGGAAGAGCTGAAGACAACACATTATCACCGGGAATACTGGCAGAGTGTTGTCACCATCCTAGCAAACGGAAGAGTCAAAACTGATAACAACAAAATATGAAAAGCTTGATACTAAATGTAATAATGCTGTTATTTATATCATACCTTCGGTTGAATTGACGAGATGTGCCTTTCTTCGATCAGCTTCCTTCCAGCAGTTTTCTGCCACCCTGTGACAGGCGTTCACCGCTCCTGGGCAAGACTTGAAGTTTAGAGGGCACACAGAGACGCCGCCAGTGCATGAGTTCACTTCCTCAAGACATGAACGAAGATTGTTATCATATTCATCGCAGAACCTGAGGTCGTCCCCGCACGTCTCTTGTACGCTCATGAGGCCGCCCGAGATGTTGATGGCAGCATTCTGAAGCGACTCAGCGCCCTCACTGCTAAGTAATGTGCAGTAGAGTGAGCTTTTGTAGACGCAACATTCATCACACACTTCAACAGACACCCATCAAAACACACTCCAGCAGATGCACTCATCACCACACACTCCAGGAGACGCACCCATCACCACACGCTCCAGCAGACACAACCATCACCATACACTGCAGCAACCATCACCACACACTCTGCACAAGATAGTAATTAGTACCTATTTGTTGATTTCCGTAGACTGAATGCTAAAAATCTTCACAGATATTAATTTACCACGAGCATGATATTCTCTTACCTTGAACATGGTATTTCCTTGCTGTGAGCATGATATTCCTTACCACGAAAATGATATACACTGACCATAAGAATAATATTCCATGAGTATGATATTCCAATTAAGCGAGGATTGATACTACCTAGCCATGGGCATATTTCCTAGCGACGAGCATGATATTAGCCATCCTATGAGAAAGATGCCTAGTGACTAAAGCTCACATTATGGCCTCACCTCATATGCTGCCATTGTCCATCTGACGAACAGGTCCAATTCGTGATGAGACCGGAGGTTGGGCAGATGGGTTGGATTGTGGTGCCAGCCTTGGCTAGGGGTAGAGTAAGGCTGCATGTCTGCCCGTTCTGGAATACAAGTTCTTCATTCTTGGTCTGGCACCATGTACAATTAGCCGACTGATCTGGAAACATTCAATGATACTAGAATGATATAAGGTGAGAGTATTAACACTGCTGATATTATCGTCTTAAATCTTGCTCCAGTGTTATTTTGAAAGAGCCATTCCAGGCTTGATGCGACGATCCTATAAGCTATATAGCAAATGTATTGTGTTTACCTAGGCTGTTTGTTCCAGTTATAATAATACCTAGGTTTAATGTGATAATTCTTAGGCTGGATGTAAATTTTGTTTCATAAAATTCTTTACAACTTGGTTAAAACAATAGAACGCAGCTCGATTGGCAGCGGACTCAGCTCACACATTAGGTCCGGAGGTTGATTCCCGGGACGATTGGAAAGCATTAGGACGTGTTTCCACAAGACACCTTCTGTCCCTGTTCACCCATCAGTAAAATGGGACATGGACATGAATTACCAGAGCTTTGGAAGAAGGATGGGTAAGATGGAAATATAGGAAAAGGGAGGGTGGGGGAAGGGGGAGGTGGGATAAAAAAGAACATAAGAAATGAAAGAACACTGCAGCAGGCCTACTGGCTATGCGAGGCAGGTCCAAGTCTCCAACCGGCCAATGCACCCAACTAGTCATGTCAGGTCACATTCACTTAAGGAAGGAGCACGGCAACTGACCCAGTAGCACAAGCTAGTCAGGTCCAACTCACACCCACCACACCTTCTATGTATTTAACTAATCTATTTTTAAAACTACACAACGTTTTAGCCTCTATAACTGTACTCGGGAGTTGTTCCATTCATCCACAACTCTATTACCAAACCAGTGCTTTCCTAATATCATTTCCCGAATCTGAATTTTTCCAACTTAAAAAATCTTTGCTGGGGTTTGTCTGGGTTAGATATTTTCAGTATCTATTTACACCCCCTTTATTCCTGTTTTTCCATTTTTTTAAAAGGGTAAAGGGGCCCTAACATTTTGGTGCATTTTAATACGATGGGGTTTTTGTAGTGTTCCTCATAAATATATAAAATTTTAGGAGGGGGTATACCTCATTCCCACGCTAAACCATTTTACCTGCTGTATATTTCATGTTGGGGTTTTGGTTGGATTTTCCCTTGAAAATTGCTAGTTTTTTGTACAAGAGGTAGGTTCTAAGGCACTTGCTGAAGGTGGTAGTTGCAAGGCTCTTGGGGAAATTTGGTGCTTTCGGGTATTGGGGGACTTACTTTTTCTGAGGGGGTTCCCTCAAAGGGATTTTTGGAATTTACAGGTTAGTTGTAGCCGACATGTTTCAATATTTTCCAAAATTGGGTTATTTTTGTCCTTGGGGGACGTGAAGGTTCGGGTTTACGAAATTTTATCCTTGGGGGAGATCATCCATCTTAGTTGGGAATTTTCTTGTGGAGAAGCCCTCGACTTTTTTACTGAGGGTATCCTTTGATTCGGGGGGGAGGTGCATGATAATGTAGTCGGTTACCTTATACCGGGGTTATTCCGGGTTCAAGCCCCCCGCGGCCGGTCCATCCAGGCCTCCCGATGATCGGGGCCTGATCAACTAGGCTGTTACTGCTGGCCGCACGCACCCGACGTACGACCCACAGGCGGCTGTTCCGGGGCACTGCTTTAGGTATTGTCCAGCCTCCTTGAACACGGGGGTTTTTTGGCAATTCCCCTAATGCTTATGGGGGGTTGAACGTTTTAGGCCCCGGGGACATTTGGTGTTTTCTCTTAGTTACCAATGGCCCCCCCTACTTTTTATTGGGGGCTTTTTTGCATCGCCTCCCAGTTTTTTATTTTCGTAGGGAGTGTTTTCGGGTGAAATTTGGGACCATTCCTTCCAAATTTTCCCCAATGTAGTTATGTATATCTCCCCCAATTTGGTTTTGTTGGGTTTTTCAGTTGCCTATTTTCCTCGTCTGTGCTCTTTTCTGGACTTTTCGTACCCTAGCAAAAAAAAAAACCATACCCGGGGGGGATTTAACCCCGCGTTCAGAGAGTCCAAAACCCCCAGACCGCGCGTTAGCCACTGGACATGGACATGAAAGAATTTTCAGAAAAAGGTTTTTTATCATCACATTATAGAGGTGTTTCAACGTGTGAGGGGCATCTTTTAAACCCTGAAGTCTTTTTTAATTTGCATTGTTTTGTAACACTAATTTTTAACACAGCGTGTGAGGGGGACTTTCCCAAAAAAAATTTAAAATCAAGCGATGTTTATTGGTGAATGGTATATCTAGGAAAGTACTGACTTCCATTCAACTTTTAACCTACGACGGAACAAGTGGTTTTAAACTTTTAAACAAAAATTTTAAATGTTAATGAACTTGAACTTCCTTTAAATTAAAGTATTAACATTAAATTTACTTTTGAATTTAAGAAAAAACCAAACTGTGCCTTAAACTGGGAACTTTACAACTTCTTAGTTTTACTTTAGTTTTTTCCAAAGTTTTTTTTTTTTAAACAAACGTTTGAAAACTATTAGCAGGATTATGTACTTTGAAGTATAATTTATTAATACCGAACTTTAAATTTTGGGAATTTTTAGAAAAAGCATTACATTCAGTTCTTTTAAAGATATACAATGTATATAAGCATTAATCCCTTTACCTAATCCGTTTCATCTATTGTTAAATGACCCAGCAGTGGTGTTCAATAATGGACATGATTTCGATTTTTTTTTTTTTTTTTTTTTTTTTTTTTTTTTTTCGCCGGTTTTTCTCCCGGCCCGGGGCTTTTTCCCAAGTATGGTACCCGGCCTTGGCTTTCCCCATCTGGGGGGGGTCTCGAGACTTAAAACTCCCCTGGGGGAGGTACAGTACCTCCCACTTTTGGGGCCAATGTCCCCGGCCTACCACATTTCCCCCCCCCTCCGGGGGTCGTAGGAGAAGCTAGGCCTCTGGGCTGCCATTACCCCCGCCCCAAAGGGGGTCGTGGGATGGGTCTATGAACTGCAGAGGTAGCAAGCTCAGGCTGTTCGAAATTTTAAACACCGTTTTCCCAGCACTGGGTAATTTTTAAACACTGCCTTCCTTTGTCTTGACCTTCTTACTCTACAACCTAGAACACTTTATTATTACATGGGGAAAAGGGTAAACCCGGGTTCATTATCAGCGCGTAGGGGGGGGAAAAGAAAAGGGTTTTAGATTAAATTTAGGGGAATGAAGAAAGATACAATTTCCCCAGATCAAAAAGGCCCCCCCCAAACAAGGGAACCCCCCTTGGGGAACCTAAAAACTGGACTTAACCAACCACATCACACTCTTGAAAATTCACAGTTTTGACTTAACCCACAAGACTCAACCTTTTTATTGGGATTTTACTGTTTTATTTAAAGGGAACCTCAACAATTTTACCACATTATAATGAAATTCATGTGTTTTTCGGGAGTTTAAAATTAAAATAGGTCGCTGATAATTAGTTTTTTCGTTTTTCATTACAGTTTAAAATTTGGGGTTTAAGTAAAAAATATTTTAGTTGTATTAACCCGGGATTTAGCCTAGTAAAATTTTTTTATGTTCGACACTGAGCCCGGGTTTTATATACTGTCTTTAATTAAAAAAGATTAAAATGATTTTTAAAGGGGAATCACTCATTTTAGTACATTAGTATACCTATTTTTTGTATAATCTTTATATTTGTTTACCAATTTAAAATTTCGTGAGGGTTAAATTACTAAACTGTATTAAAAAAATTTTATTATTAGATATCCTTTCTGTAATTCATTACAATAAAATTCCTACTCTGTATCAACATTCTGGGCAGAGAAGCTCGAGGAAGGTGACTCAGGCTGGACCACTCACATACATGTCCTTAGATAAGTGAATGTGACCTGACCTGACTAGGTTGGGTACATTGGCTTAAGCGGTAGGAGACTTGGACCTGCCTCGCATGGGCCAGTAGGCTTGCTGCAGTGTTCCTTGTTTCTTATGTTACTTTTAGTGCTATCAATATAAACTATTCTCTTCAGATTATAATATTAATGCAGCACAAATACTTACAAGAAGACAAAGCTCTTTTTATAAAAAAAATAATAAATATCTTCAATATACCACACAGTTCAGGTCACCGACGTAAATAAAAATTCCTAGAACGGTTGTAGTAATTTTACATACAGACACAACTAGGTATTATTTACATATTTACGATAAATTACGCAAATACAAAAACACTCGTAATCAGCTTAGTGTAACACTGAAAAATATTTGTAGTTTTATCCATAATTTTATGTGAATATTATATTGCATAAATTAATGTATATATTTAAGCTTCTAATTGCATCCTTTACAAACTGCAAAAATTAGTCTTTTTATTAAGGAATTTGCGAAGAAAGAAAGAAGAGCATCAGGCAGCCTCCATTATAAAATTTGATACACAATTTACAGTAGTTACAGATACTCAAAGTTTACAAGGAAAACTAAACAGTGTTAGATCTGTGCAAGAAAGGTATAAAATACCGACAATATGAAAGTTAAGACACATGTGCAACATCTGGATATCTTTATTGTAGACGTTTCGCCAACCAGTGGCTTTATCAATACAGATTCTAGGACATAATAGGAAGACAGTAGAACTATATACAAAAGATGAGGTAATCAGTCCCTCCAGTAACTCCAAGGCCGAGGGACTGATTACCTCATCTTTTGTATATAGTTCTACTGTCTTCCTATTATGTCCTAGAATCTGTATGGATAAAGCCACTGGTTGGCGAAACGTCTACAATAAAGATATCCAGATGTTGCACATGTGTCTTAACTTTCACAGTGTTAGATCTAATGCGATATTCAATAATTTTAAGGTAAAACAATTTGTCAACAAAAGTCATTAACACTCAACACTATAAAAGTCGAACATTAAAATGGTATAAAATACCGACAGGTTGTTAGGTAAGAGACATATGCAACAGTTAGGTATCTTTATTTCGAAACGTTTCGCCTACACAGTAGGCTTCTTCAGTCGAGTACAGAAAAGTTGATAGAAGCAGAAGAGACTTGAAGACGATGTAATCAGTCCATCACCCTTAAAGTTTTGAGGTGGTCAGTCCCTCAGTCTGGAGAAGAGCATTGTTCCAAAGTCTGAAACAATATGGAGTTGAAGTGACAGGATGGAGCCTTATATAGCGCCAGGAAGTGAGACGTAGGCCACTAGTAGAACGCAGATGTTGGGAGGTCAGGTCCCTCTCAAATCCAGCCGTTCTCACTAGTAGAGGTTGTCGAAGTTGATTTCAGGTCTGTACCAAGACACCCTTGTGTTGCAGTGTCTGACCTCCCAACATCTGCGTTCTATGAACATCAAAATGGTATACAATACCGACAGGTTGTTAGGTAAGACACATATGCAACAGTTAGACAACTTTATTCCGAAACGTTTCGCCTACACAGTAGGCTTCTTCAGTCGAATACAGAAAATAGGCAGGAACAGTAGAGATGTGAAGACGATGTAATCAGTCCATCACCCTTGTAGTCGGAGAATTTGAGGTTGTCAGTCCCTCGGCCTGGAGAAGTTCAGTTCCATAGTCAGGAACTATCTGAAGATCAAGCAACACATGGCATCTTGGTACAGAAAACACCTTGGACAAGCTTTTCAAGTGAGAAGTGTTGGATCTGAGAGGGACATGACCTCTCAGTGGTTACATTCTTACCACTACTACTACTACTACTACTACTATGCACCTCTCCTTCCGACAGTATTTAAGTCTCCGCACTGTCGCTTGATCTTCAGATAGTTCCTGACTATGGAACTGAACTTCTCCAGGCCGAGGGACTGACAACCTCAAATTCTACGACTACAAGGGTGATGGACTGATTACATCGTCTTCACATCTCTACTGTTCCTGCCTATTTTCTGTATTCGACTGAGAGAAGCCTACTGTGTAGGCGAAACGTTTCGGAATATAAGTTGTCTAACTGTTGCATATGTGTCTTACTAACAACAATCTGCGTTCTACTAGTGCCTACGTCCCCACTTCCTGGCGCTATATAAGGCTCCATCCTGTCACTTCAAAATCCATTTGTTTCAGACTTTGGAACAATGCTCTTCTCCAGACTGAG